CAGAATAGTACGGCACGAACAGCTCGGGCAAGAGATATCGCTGACTTCACATCCGACATGCCCCTTGACCCTGCTGAACTCTGGGCACACGGACGCTTGCACCCCGAGCTCATTCTCGAAGGCGCAGACGACCGTCCCTGTCGCAAGTCTCTCGCATCCGCACAACGTGTCGGGGGTTTGGGCGCGAGCAGCAACTTTCACAATGGGCCTATGGGGAATGACTCATTGGCCCTGCCACAGCATCAAGTTCAGAATCAAGAGAGGCGCATAACGACGACAACAGCCATGGCAACACCCATACCGATCAAAATTTATTCACAACGACGACGATGATGATGAGGACAAACCACCACGACGACCACGATCAGCGGCCACTAGGGCGAAAAAAGAGGAGCAGGACGAAATTTACCGCCGCGAAGCCGAGTGCAACCAATATAGAAATAAGCTAAGCTACCACACGTAGCAAGGGGACCCCGCTACGGACCGTCGTGTAAAGAACTCTGTTGAACCAAAAACAGCCCCCAATTTTGCTGGGAATCCCGGCTCTGCGAGGCAGCCGTCTCCTGTCGGCTGGATTTTTTGCACATCAACGCCCCCGTCTAGGCGCCTCAAAACAGGGGGACGACAGAGTCTCCGAAAGCATCCGAGAAAGCGTGCATTTGGCTGCAGTTCCCTGGCCGAACCCAGCGCCCGATTCGTAGGTTTTCGAGGCTCCCCTCTCGAACTGGGGAGCCCCATGGAATGACGCCGCGAGCCCAGGCCTCAAGAAGGATAATTTGAATCCCAAAGCAGGAAACCCCTTTCACCCCCAGGGCCAGATGTCTCCTCAGAGCTACACCTGAGCTACCACATCTCATGTAACAGGCCGTATCTAACACCAAAACCGCTATCAAGGCGCCAACAAGCTGAAAGCCCTTCGCCATGACATTTCGAAGGCTGGGCCTTCCGCAGCCTCCTGGCTGCCACTGCGGCTGCTGAGCCGCCAAGGGCCACCTGGGTAGGCGAGTCTGCAGAGAAGGCATGGAAGAAGCACGGCTTACACAATGAGACGAGTACCCGCACATCTATGCCGAAAGAGTCGAGGCTTGATCAAGTCATATCAGAGATCCCTTGTGAATTTGCATGACTGGACTGAAGGAACTATTCACTTGCAGCACTGACAAAACCCACCAGACGCCGCAGCAGGAAAGAACAAGCCACAGCACGGGATCTCACATGTGGCACACCTGAAACGTAGACAAGTAGAACCAGGGTGAGGTTAACTTGCCAAACTGCCGACATTCCACAGCCCCACTTCGCGATTCAATCCTGCTCATAACAACTAATACGAAACAAGAAGCAACGATACGAGAACAGCTGCGCTACGTCAGAACAGCATTCTGGACCCACAGCTGAGCACTCTGGCGCCCGCAGCATTCAGAAAGCTCTGTCCAGTGGCAGTGCTAGATGCCTGGCGCACTTGCATCCAAATGTCTCATCGTGAACCGTCGTCCCCAGCCGGCTAACACTAAATGCCACAGAGAAATAGGGTTGCATGCAGGTGTATGTGTGTATTGACCGCTGAACATCAGCCTCTTCCATCCATACTGACCACCCTACACTTAGAGGAATTTGCGATTTCTTGCCATCGCGAGCTGACAGCTCTCCACCCTAAAACCTTTAGCGCCTGTTCTTGAACCCACGCAAAAGCCACATGCATCCTTGCAAAAATGTGCCGCCTTGAATATTCTTATCTGAATTTGTGCTTCCCCGGAATGTGTCCAGCACACACACGTCGAAGCTTCAGGAATCATTGATGTTTGAGGATCTCAACATGCTGAACCTGCCATACTGGAGTTACCAGACTGTGGGGTGAAGCAAACCAGCAAACCAACCGGGCTGGCCGTGGCGCTCTGCCCGCGCAGGGCTGGAGCTGCTGTTCGCTCACTCTGGGAGGCCTGGGCTTTCGCGGGTGCCCAGCTGTGCTTCCTAGGGTCTAGCTGAGTCTAGCTGGTGGGTGAAGCTTCAGGGCTTAGGCCTCAGGGTGCAGGGACTGAATAGATCTGCGGCTGTACAGGTGTGCGTATGATGACACCTCCCACAGTCGCTTGGCGGTTTAGGGATTGGGCATCCAGACAGATGTGCAGCAACCTACTTCGCGCACCACGCTTATCCGTGTTAATACGACTACAGGTGCGATCTATCTTTGCTCTGCTGCTAGCCAGCAACCGATCCCTTTGGCAGAAACACTGCTGCCACTCTCCCTTTGTGAGGCCGGGCTGGCAGCGCAACGAAGGCGGTTCCTGCGACCTGCCAGCAAGAGGCCGATTGTCATATTTGGCGGCTGAAGAAAAGTGAAGAGCTAGAAGGACTCATGCTACTCATTATGAGTATTCTCCAGCCACTTTGGTCCGTGCTTGGAGCACAGGACCCAGGATGTCGTAAGAAAGTAGTTTTGCAGGCGGTGAATTTCGTGGACCTAATCTCTCATGTTCATGACCCCGCCCATGGTTACGACGCTAAACATGATCATAGTAAGTATCATCATCACCATCGTCAACATCATCATCACCGTCACCGTTCTCATCATCGCCATCATCGTCATCATCGTCATCATCGCCATCATCAGCGCCATCATCGTCATAATCGTCATCATCAGTGCCATCATCATCATCATCATCATCATCCTCGTCGTCGTCGTCGGCGTCGTCGTCGTCGTCGTCATCGTCATCGTCATCATCACCACCATCAGCAGCATCAGCAGCATCAGCAGCATCACTGTCATCGTTATCTTTAGTTTTATCATCATCATCATCATCAGCAGCAGCAGCAGCATCACTATCATCATGGTCATCATCACGATGTGCATGTCTTGAGCGCCACACCCAAACCGTCGTACTATGCCAATTTTGCGGGCGGCTGAAATCTAGCTTGAGAAGGTGCTGTTGGTGCTGTGGTTGCGGCACAAGTCAGAACAGTATGTTCATGGCCCTTCCATGCCCGTGCAAGCTTCGTGAAGGGAACCTTTCAGCAAGCTTGAAGACACTTCTCACATCGGAAACCCGTCCCGAAACTTCAACTTGAGACCAACAGCTGAACCTGACAAGAGTCCTGAGAAAACACAATGAGGATGAAAAGAATCTTGGGTTGTCGATCGCGAGGCCCCCGGCCGCGGCGCAGCCGGCGAGGGCGGCAGCTCTCTGCGTGGCCGGTGCCTTCTGTTTTCTCATGCCCTGACCTCCGGGCTCCCGAGCTTTCAGAGAGCAGAGAGCGGTGCCATGAACATGACGACCCGAAGCACACACAGGTGGAGACCACGAAGCAAAAAGCCCCAGAGCTGACGGCAGCAGGGAGGCTTCGGCTCTGAGTCGGGTACCATTCTGTCCTGCCTCTTGATCGTCAGCGTGTCGTGTATGGAGGTAGGCAGGCCAAGGCACTGAGCCGAAACAGCCCAAGCAGTGTGGCAGCGTTCAGCCCGAATCCGACGATCTGCAAAGACTCGGTTGGAGCTTGAACTGAGTCACTGTGTGAGATGACACCGATAGCAGCAGCTGTTCGGCACAGCGTTAAAGGAGCATGATGATCCATTGTGACACCCATTAAATCCTGAATTCCGCGCTTGAACACATAGGCTGGTTAGCGCTATGCCATATGCCGTGTTCGATAAACTACGTTAATCCGAAATCGATTGCTCTTCCGATCGGCTTGTCCCTGCTCTTTCCGAGGTTAGTTCAACAACTTGGTAGTCCAGGACACTTTTCATGGCGCAGCCGGTCAAGGTCCTCACGTTTGTGGACTTCCTCTCCTTCTGCGTCGTGGCGCAGGCAGTCGGAACCTATGTTAGATGTACCCAAGGAGGTCTGAGAAAAACTTCAGATCTGCATGAGACCTGCCAGTGTTCGACGCTCTTCGCCGAGGTAAGAGAGAGGTCTTTTGTGGATCTAAGAGAGTCGGAGCCTCTCTACAAACTCCGAAATCTGAAGAGCCACTCAGACCCAGGGGCTCAGATAGAACCAGGAAGGCCCAAGCTCATCCCCGGCCTTTCTAGCTCGGATCCACACCCAGGGCGCATAGGTCGGGACCCGAAACCTCTTCTACCAGTACAAGGATTCGGAATCCAGCTTCCGGCTTGGGGACATGGTCTTGCGCTTCACCGCTTGGGCGTTGCTTCTTGAGAGCTTCACCTTGCAGACACGTCTGCTGCCTGGCCCAGAAACTCTGACACCCCGAAAGCCCCAGCCCAGACGTGAATCCTCTCCTCCTTGTCGCCAAGAGAATGCCCACACAAACCCTTGGGCTGGTGGCCTTGAAATCTTCGGGAAGTCTTGTTGCTCACGTTCAGCCTGCCCGCAGGGGTCGCAGGGCTTGCAAGTGGTTTGTGAGGGGATTTGAAGTGAGGGCCTAGGGCTTGATGCGCAAGGCTCAGACCGGAATTTCATTGATTGCGAAGTGGCTTCTGAGAAGATGTGGTCTTGGCGGCGCAGCATTCAGCATTCAGCGCTGCAAGACTGGCGCTTGCAACTAGTTCTGCCGCCAGGGGCCGCAGCCCAGCTTCAAGCAAAAAACTCTGAGGTGGAAGCTTCAGGGTTCTGGTCTGAGGCAGCTTAGGCCTCGGCTTGGCTTCGGGGATTGGGCTCCAGGCCTTTGTGCTTTGGGCCGCCAGCGGGCATCCGGATCCAGGCCTCTGGCGAAGGAAGCTTTGGGGTTGGGACTCCCGGACTGCGTCGAGGGCTGCGTAGAAAAAGGGCTCTCTGTCTGCTTGGGCCTCCTTGTGCAAAGGCCGCCTCTCCTACGGAAATCCCAGCAGAACAGCGCCTCGGATGTCCCGTCCTCCACGGGAGCAGCGTCTGTCTGCCTGCAAAGTGAGATGCGCTCCCTCGAGCCCCAGACCCTTCACGAATCGCTGAAGCCAGCTCCAAAGCAGGTTTCTGCACAATCGAATCGCAGTTTGACCAGCTTTAATCGTACCTCTGTTTGCCGCCTTTCGGCTTGCCACCGCCCTGGTCACCTCGCCCTTGCCTTTAGCCGAAGTCCAGACGGACGTGTGGCACCTTCGCTTGCAAGCGGTCGACCAATTCGTCCCACTCAGGAGACTCCAGAGGATTCCCCTGCAGGTCAAGCTCTTCCAGCGATCCTGCTTCGAAGTTGAAAGCATCCTCGATCAACGACCTGGTAGGCTCGTCCGGCACCGGCACGCCGCCAATGTCGTTGTTGCGCAAGGCTAGTCTCTTCAAGCGCTTCAGGCCACGAACTAGCGGAGGCAAGTTGTGTTCCAACTGGCCTGGGGAAAAATCTCCGTACTCGCTTATAAAGTTTTCGGAGAGATCCAGATCGGTCAGAGACTCAGACCAAAACAAGAATGCTTGCGCAATCTTCGGCTCGTCGTCGCCCAAGCTCGTGAAGTGGCACAAACCACAGCCTGCTAGGTCAATCTTTCTCAATGACGCGAATGCCGGCAGGTGCAGAGCCATGAGGAAGTCGACTGCAACCTGCGTCTTCTGCAGGTTCAGCTCCTTCAGCGCTGGGAAGTGCGGCAGAACACGTTCGACCAACCCAGGCCAGGAGCGTCCGAGCTTGGACCCGGAGACGTCCACCGAAACCACGCGGTGCCTCAGCTCCTCGCGCGGGAGCGCTACTACGACTCTTCACGCAGACCACGCAGACGCTAGACACAGACCACACATGTAACGGCTACACTGAAGGCTCTTTTTTCGCACAGAGGGCTTTAGGGAATCTTTCATCGGCGCCTCCTCGACACCAGAGAGGCCACAGCCCAGGTGCCAGTAGTAGGCCGTTCGGACGGGCCAGGACCGCTGCACTGGCTCCAAATCGAGGAGGGGCAGGCGGAAGGTGCCCTCTTCCCAAGGCTCCTGAGCGATTTAACGGATGGGCCCGGAAGCTTCCGGGTCACTTCGTCACTTCAAGGAGCCTTTGTCCGCCGACTCAAGACAACCGCTTCAAAGTCAACATCACACCGTGCTCTATATCAGAAGATGCACCGCAAAACCCGACAACCCATCCACAAACCCTGCAGTGACATCAACTGCCTGCTATTATTTTGCATGTTTCGCGCTGTGGAGTCTGCGGGCTCCTGAATGGCACAGAGGGCCTCGGCGACGTGGTCGCCCAAGCCGTAGTCGATCTCACACCCCGGCTGTCTCGAGGCCTCCAAGGCTGCCACTGTGCTGAGCCCGGCATCGTTCCCGGCAAAGAGGAGCTTCTTCAAAGACAGCTCTTTCAGCAGTCTCGGCACATACGAGGATCCCAGCTCTTCCTTCTCCTTGCAGAAATCACGGACGAAGGCCTTGTCATTCAGAGACAAGTCCAGAACTTCCAAGGCTGTCAAGGTCAGCAAGCTCACGAAAAGGGCAGAAACATGGGGCGGCAGCATGCCAGAGCCCCCGTGGAAGGAGAAAAAACCATTGCAGGAGAGGTTCAGGTAAGTCAGCTTTTGAAGCTTGGGCATCGCTGTGCTAAGCGCCTCGATGCAAGTGTTGGTGTAGCCCAAACGGTTGCCGGAGAGATCCAAGGATGTGAGCTGGGGCATGTGCGACAGCAGTGAGATTAAGTCAGCGGAGTCTTGCCGGTCCACGGCGCGTGCCATCATCCCCATTGGCCGAAGCACTCCGCGCAGACACAGGACCGTGCACTGCAACCTGTTATCAAGAACCGCGCGCAAGAGCGCGTTCATCTGAGGCTCTGACATGACGCCGCTGCTGTCATCGCCACGGCAGTCCTTGAAGCAACGATCGTCATCTTTCGCACCCAGCGAGAGCTGTCGCAGAGATCCGAGCGCGAAGCTCAGGCCGCGCAGACCATCGTAGGGCTCCTTCAATGCCTCCAAAAGCTCGACGGCATGCTCGTGCTCGGGGTCCAGCTGCATGGGCTGCGGCTTCAGAACCACCTGAAGCTCCACGGAAGACAGCTCTGAGTCTGAGGCGATGAAGGGTTGAATACTCCAGTCCTCTAAGGCTTCGCCTTTCCACGTCAACTGCCACGCATCCCAGGAGATTCCAGCAGTGGCTCCCAGCGCTTCGACCAGCATCCGCACGGAGACATCCCGTGGCACAAAGACCTTTGCCAGCTCCCGGCCCGCCAAGGAAAAGGCGGTGACGCCGATCGTCGAAACCGCTGACATGCTCGAGCGCGCGTGTAAGCCTCTGTCTCTGTCTCTCTGTGTCTGTGTCTGAGTGTCTCTCCCTCTCTCTCTCTCTCTGCTGGGCGAGGCGGCAGCAGTGGTTCGACTGCGACCGCGGTGCGAGTTCGCACGTCTCTCTCTCGCTCTCTCTCTCTGTCTCTGCCTCTTTCTCTCTGCTTCTGTCTCTGTCTCTGTGTCTGTGTCTGTGTCTGCTGGTTGTTGGTTGGTTGGAACATTCGAGGGTGCTTTTGTCCCTGTATCCGAACGACGTCGTCGCCTTGATCCAAGGGCACTGAGAAAAGACATGCATTACTACTGAGGCACCTAGGGTTGCAGGAAAGTTCTCCACAAGGGCCCGCGCCTCTATATCCGGGAAGAATCCTCTTCAGGGCCCGGGGCATCCCAGGCCAACCTCTACGTCGGTCCCACATTCCCCAAGCCACCCACACTCGAAGATCGAAAGCGCCAAGCCCCCCTTGGTGTCCCTGGCCTCCTCCACGAGCCGCAATCGCAGCAGCGGCCTGGAAACTGCTGGGTCCTCCCCTATCCTCCATGACAGCGGGACCTTTGGCAACTGTTGCTAAGCACGAATGAAGGGGTCCCTGCCGGGCAGGGCCCGCGCCTTCGCCCTCGCGCACCAGGCCCAAGCAAGCCCCCATGGCTCGAAGCCCAGAGCAGGGCCCAAGCAGTCCAAGTACTGTACTCGCCTTGCGGGCAGCTGGAAAAGAACTTCCAGCACATATGCCATGCTATAAAAAGCTTTGATTCAATTTCTGCGACGCCTTGAAGCTGCAAAGAAGCAGTGGCACGAGCACGGATCAAACTCCGAAGCACGCCAAAGTGAGCGGACTCGACTCCAACACAAACCTCCCCATTCCTGGCAGCTATACCAGGCTATATCCGCATCCCACATGCCACCCAGCAAGCCCCACAAACCTGAAAGCACTGCTATGTGCTCGAGAACCGACCCGCAGCCGCCTACGGTCTTTGAGGCTTTCCGGGGTGTTGAAGCGAGCAGCTCCTTCAACCTTTTTGCTTCCTTCAGGAACCATGCTCTGCGGGAGTGCAACCTCTCGTTGTTGCCTTCGGGCTTCGAGCAGGCGCCCGTGCATTTGTCTTTAAAACCGTGGGCCTGGGCCCAGGCATGCCCAGTGCTACCGATGCTACGGGCTTAGGGCTTGGGCGGCTTGGATCGGGACAAACCGCACAGGCGCGCTGCCTCTGTCGCTCACCAGCGAGAAACGTTTCGGGGCCGCAGTAGGAAACCTTCGGGCCCCTACCCCTGATCGCTTTGAAAGATCTGACTTGCGGTAGCCACATGAGTACGACAGCAACCGGCTTGCTTGCGAAATCGGCACACTACGTGGCCCTCTGCCCCCGGATGCCCCTGATTACTATCCTTTGAGCCTTCGCTCGCAGCGCTCCCTCCTGGTCTACCTGCAACTTCTCTTTGGCATCCATGCAAGTACTTTAGCCTACACTCAAAAGTAAACCTTGTTCCAGTTCCTGCACATAACATCATATAACACAAGCCGAGCAGAAGCACAAAAACCACAAACAAGACGGCTAGCTTGTTTTTATCTGTTTCGGCCACTTGTGGCGCCCAGCCTTCCCGGCGAATCTGTGGCCCCGTAGGGTTCAGGGAAAAAACTTGCAGAGACAACCCTCGGAGACGCAGGCGCCGCGACGGAGCCAGAAGGAATTGTGGCTTTGAGGCTCTGGACTGTTGGAATTCTCACCGCGGGATTTCCGATGTTTGGGGCCGACTAGCCAAAGTCTGGCCGACTCCGATTGAAGCAGTGATCGTTTTCCCTGTACCGTTACATGGAGTCATCGTGGAAGCAGCACCTGATCAGTTGAATCTGAAGCGTTTCTTAGTAGAATTTGCCGCTCGGCAGCAAGCTGGCAAAGCTGACCTGCGCCAGTGAACATGAACCAACATAAACCCTAGAGCTCAATGTTGGCCGTGAGCCCTAAGTCGAAAGCACGAAAGCCCTCCCGTGAAAGCGATCGAACCCCAAAACATGCCAGGAACCTTTTTGAAAGTGCTTCCGGAGATCTCTTTCAGAACGTATCCTAGACCTTCAACCTCGACCCCATCGCGAAGCGTCAGTGCTCTGCTGCTACCACTCACGGGGCCTCGGCACGCGAATGGGACCGAGAGCAGTCGAACTTCTAGTTGAGACGTTGGGGCAGGGCATGTCGAGAAGCTTTTTATGCATTCCCATGGTGTTTCTGTTTACGTTTCTTGATGTACGTATTGCTTGGCCTGATATTCAGTTAGGGTATAAGTTTTGCAGGAATCGGACCAACCAAACCTCAGGATTCCAGCACCAGCTGTCCCGGACTCCTTTCATGTCTGAAGACCATTCCGAGGAATGCTCGCCATGTCCCCAAGACATCTGACGTTCTGCAAAAATCATGGAACTATGTAAACTCGTTCAAGCGTCGGGGGCGAAATTTCCACCCAACAGCCCAAATGTGCGGATGCAAGTTTCCTGTTCAGGGTCCTCCTGCAGCCCTCCAGAAGTTTCGGGTTTGGGTTGCGGGCGCTCTCATGACAGCTGCATCATTGACTCATGCTAGTCATACACCTGTGTTTTGCGGCTTACTTCAAGCTGCCGTCTGTGGAGGCTTCAGACGTCTGGGCCGCTAGCTTGCCTTGGCCCTTGCTCCTGCCTGGAAAATCTCTCCTTGGGGCACACAGAGGGTCAATCGAGGGATTCACAGTTCCGCAGCTGGTTCTGGCTAAAGAACTCTACGCTTATACAGCATGAGAGAAGACCAGGAGGGATGAAAGCGAAAGAATCCCAAGGGATTGATTGACTCTCTGTGTTTTCGGATCACTGCGTTTTGGTCATGGCCTTGCGTGTGACTGCTTCACTGGCACCCAAGTTCCGACGGCACATACGGCCATAACTTCCAACGGCAGCCGAGCGTCGCAGCGCCATTGGTGGTGGCCTAACCGCAGAGTCCCTAGAGTCTGTAGAGTCCGACTATCGAACAGCCCTAAGCACAGTCCGGACTACCGGCAACCTCCTCTGTACGAGTTGCTAGGTAAAGTTGTGCGGCATCGCCGGCTTCCGGCTTCAATGGCGATTCTCAGAAAAACAAACCTAGCATGCGTGCTATTGGTGCTCATCCTGCTATCGCATGGATCTCCGAGTCTGTCTGCATAGGTTCTCATGTCGAGGGAATGCATCTGGGCAAATGTACCTAAACTCCAGATCAAACTCAAGAGCGCAGTCCCTGTAGCAAATTGGATACCACCAACCACTTCTCTGGAAAAGCTCTTCAACCCCAAACCCGGTTGAGAAGCTTGCACTTGAAAGCCCCGACCCCGAAATTGTCGACCTGAACCCTAGGCTAACAGGCTCGGGTTTTCGCCTGTCCCTCCCTTCGCCAGCTCGGGCCGTCGGCACCGGAGCCTTTGCAGAGATTCCAGTATGTGCGCCCGTGTCGGCGCATTAAGGAGGCTTAGGGCCTAGGACCATGCGTTTTCGAGCTCATAGTTCAGATTCCTTGTTTGGTTTAGCGAGAGACGGCCTATGGACTCAAGACTTTCTGTGCCTTAACCGCCTTAGGGAGTCTTGGCTGCTGGGGCTTGGGATGTCACAAAGAAACGGACACCGGGCCTTGTCGGCTGCCGCCTTTCGGCTTAGGCGGTCCGCCCTTCCCGCCCTTGCCACCGCCCTTGCCACCGCCGCCCTTGGACCTTGAAAACCATGTGACGGCTTCGGGGTTTTGATGCTCGGGAGCTCTTGTTCAAAGGGCAGACCGCAGCCTATAGCATGGCACGGGGTCCTCGAGTTGCGCTGCGACTGGGGTCCTAGCCAGCCGCCCTGAGAGCGGATGGTGTTGCCGCCTTCGAAGGCGGGCTTGGGCTTCAGAGTCAAGCTTGCTTTGGCCGTCTGGTCTTCGGCTTCATTGGCTTCATGCTTTCTTTCAGGGTTGGTTTACAACTGCGAAGAGCCACCCTCGAGGCTTCCAACCTCTCAAGAGAACCCTGCCAACCTCGCGAGTCGCGGCCGCCCCAACCTGTCACCGTGCGCTCGCTGTCAGCCCCCAGAACCCCGAGCCGAAAGTTCCAAGGCGCTGCGTAGTCATGTCTTGGCTGTCTGCAAAACCAAGTCATGCCTTTCGGTGGAAAGCTGAAAACCTGTGCACCCTCGATGGAGGCATCCGTGTCTGTCGGTGCGGCCCCTAAGGGCTCCGTGTCTGAGGCGCGCAATAGCCACCCCATCAGATGCCAGCAGATCGAGAGGTTCTCGATTCTCGCTTCTCCCTCGGACCTCCTGCTGCACGTACTGCGCTGTCCAAGGGGTGCAGGTGGCAGGGCCTTTCCACTTGGGCCTGAAAGAAGAAAAGCCGTGCAGCCTCACGACTTCGTGCCACGGGCCTTGCCCTGTCAAGTACCGGTAGAAAGCGTAGGCGTGTCTCAGGATAAGTATGATAACCCAGCTGACTGTCCACACAGCCAGCTGAAGGCAAAACACACCTACCACAGCCACGGCGAGCCAATATGCCCATTTGGCAGCATAGCCGACCGAAGCGCAGAGAGCCCCGCAGTAAACAAACCCGGTATCAGCGACTCTGAAAAGACTTGCGGGGCCTTCCGGCGCTGTGCTTTCTCTTGCTACAAAGGTAGCAGAAGGGTTTGCCGCTCCGTCTTCTGCTGCTGCCTGAGGCGAGCTCCTCGCCCGGACAGCAGTAGTACGGGAAGGAGAGATCCCCACACGAGGATTCGGAGGCAGAATCTGAAGGGAGAGATGGAGATTAGATCTGCCAAGCAGACCAAATCGCGCTTAATGGGGCGGAGGCTAAAGGGCCCCTTTCTCTCGGACCTTGCAAGGACTGTAGTTGCGGAACGCCTATCCGCTTGTTGCAGCCGGATGAGAGAACCAGCTGCACGGGTTATCGCAACTGGGATCTTGATCGTGAAGACACAAAACTTGAGGTATCCCAACCGGGATCCTGACCAAGAAGCCACAAAACTTGAGGTAGCCCAACCGGAATCTTGACCACAAGGCTACACAGCCTGACGTATCCCAAACGGGATCCTGATCGCGAACCCACAAACTTGAGTTTTCCCAACCGGGGTCTTGACCACGAAGCCACAATCAGCTACAAAACTTGAGGTATCCCAACCGGGCTCTTGACCACGAAGCCACAAAACTTGAGGTGTATCAACAGCGGTCTCGGCCGCGAAGCCGCAAAAATTGAGGTATCCCCACCGCGATCTTGACCACGAAGCCACAAAACTGGAGGTATCCCAACCGGGATTCTGACCACGAAGCTTCAAAACTTGTGGTTTCCCAACCGGACCTCAACCGTGAAGCCACCAAACTTGGGGTATTTTGTGGTATCTCGACCGGGATCTGAAGCACGAAGACGTAAGACAATCCGTCTCTTGACCACGAAGCCACAAAAGTTGATCCCAACCAGGATCCTGACCTCAAAGCCACAAAACTCGAAGTGCCGCAACCGGAGCGCCTTAACCGTGAAGCCACAACATAACCTGAGGCATCCTTAACGGCGAACGGCATCTTGACCACGGGATCTTGTGACCACGAAGCCACAAAACTTCAGGTATCCCAACCAGGGCCCTGACCACAAAGCCACAAACTTGAGGAATCCCAACCGGGATTTTGACTGCGAGGCCACAAAACTTGAGGTACTCCAACCGGGATCTGGACCACGAAGCCACAAACTTGAGGTATCCCAACTGGGATCTTGCCCACGAAGCTACAAAACTTGAGGTATCCCAACCGGAACCTTGACCGCGAAGCAACAATACTTGCGGTTTCCCAACCGGGATCTTGACCACGAAGCTGCGCAAAACTTGAGGTATCCCAATTGGGTTCTTGACCGCGAAGCCACGAAACTTGAGGTATGTCAACAGCGGTCTTGACTGCGAAGCCACAGAACTTGACGTAGCCCAACCGGGGCCCTGACCACGAAGTCACAAAGTTGAGGAATCCCAACCGCTGCTGCTACTACTACTACTACTACTACTACGACTACTACTACCACTACTACCACTACTACCACTACTACTACTACTACTACTACTACTACCACCACCACGACTACTGCTACTCCTACTACCAGTACTACTGCTACTACTACTGCTACTACAGTACTACTGCTGCTAGAACAGCACTAGCACTAGCACGCACAAGTGCGGCAGCGGCAGTTGGGGTGGGCTCCATGCGGCGTACTAACCCCTGCCAACTTCAGGTGTCGGTCTGAGAAGATCTGACATGCTCCACTTCTCGGAAACCCTGACACGGTCCCTGATGCAGATGCAGAGACCCAGTGGAACTGTCTCCGCCCCGGAGGGCGGGACTGCGGCTCCAAACTCGCCAGGCAGGCGTTCACCCTTGCCACCCTTGTTCTTCTGGTAACCCTGGCTCACCCGGAATCTCTTTGGGCTAGATGCATCAAGGCTGCCGAATGGAGCACAGCGCTACGAGCACCAAGCTATTGCCCAAGCCGCGGGGACAGGGGTTTGCAGAGCGAAATCGTTCTGACGGTTCGGGCTTGGGCTCCAAAAACCTGAAAAGGTTCACAGAAACGACCAGTTTAAGTTGGCCGGAATGTGGGAATTTGCCTAAAGACACCACACCCACATCCGGGTGCCTGCTTGTAGGCCTCCTGCTTCAAATCCTGGATGATAGCGGTCGCCGTTCGGGTTCTTCTAACTCTCTGGAGCAGTAGCACATGCCGTATCAAAGTTGGCAAACAGCAAACAAGACCTGCGGGTATCTCCCTGCCACCCTGCTAGCCGCTGCCGACAGAAGCTTCCCTCTCTGCGTGCCTCGGGCACATCCTGCCCCGCACCCTCCAAAACTGCCACGAGTTCTGGCGGCGAGGGGTGTGGTCTGGTTGCCGCGGGCCAGTTAGCAGGATGCCTTCCAAATACTGCCACACCCCGTCATAATTGCCTTCAGAGTCTAGCATTTGTTTTCAATAGGTGGGCAAAGGATGGGCGACAATCTTTCTTTCACAGAAGCGAGGCAAGCATCCCTGCTTCGGACCAGCTGGGGCTTCAAGGCTTCCAGTTGAGGCGTACAGGCTGTCAGAATCCCGAATTCAATGAAGTTGGGACAAAGGTGAGGTACACCCCTTGGCTTACAGCTTGAGACTCCGAAGCTTCCGAGGGGCTGGTACAAGGAAGGCATGTTGGTCGCCAGCTTCGGAGAGCTGCCGTATGCGGCCGGAAGTCACAAACTGCGAAGCCGTAATAGGGCCTTTGACGACATTGGCATTGGAATGCTGGCCATCGTGTGCCGGGACCTCAAGCTGGGAGCTTCATCTTCAGGTCGCAAAGGCACCAGAGAACCCGAGAGTTGAGCTGAGAGAAACCATACATGCCATGAGACTCCAGAGCTCGGCTCTCGGCATAGAAGCTAGTGGCCCAACCGTGGTTACCAATGCGTCCGGTCCGGCCTGAGATGGCGGATTTGGATAACACAATTCAAAGAGGCTTCTCCCCATACAAAAACGACGGCGGATAGTACGAAGGACCCAGGCGCAGGACGGTGTCAAATGCGCGAGGGGCGGACCGATCCGGTGAACGTAGGAGTCAATGTTTTGCGGCAGGTCGTAGTTGATGACGTGCGAGACCTATTGGCTGACACATTTTCAAAAACTCTCGTGGCACGGCCAATGCACACACGGATACCGCTGGCATCAATGCTACAGTAAGACCTGCCATAAAGAAGTCAATCCCCCAAGCGAGATCCAAGGTCACTACCCCAAACCGCACAAACTGGACCTAGGAAGGCCTTCGGAATGTCGAGGCCACGGGCAGCCACATCAGTGGCCACAAGGAAGGTGCTCTTCCCACTGCAAAGACGAAGGCTGCTTCAAGTACCGGGGGGGGGGGGGGGGGGGG